TGGAGCTGCAAGTCTATTATCGCCATGAAGGGTGGCGGTATTGAGAACCCGGTATTCGAACCACCCAGCCCCGACCTCGGCCTCCAGTCCCAGAGGAGCCCTGCTAGGGCAGATGCTCGCGTCCCTGTAGTGGCGGAGGCTGAGGAAGGGCCCTGCGGATGGGGCCACTGTACCCCTAAGGCTCTACAGCTCTGCAACAACCCTGAGGGCTACCTGGCTGCCTACAGTCTCCTGGCTATCTTCCAAGGTAACTGGTCCCTGCCACCTTGCCCTGAGCTGCAAGCCTGCTGCTCTCCTCCTCACCTTCCTAGTGGGACCTAGTCACTGCAGGCCTTCTGCTGCCCTGGGAACATCTTGCTCTGGAGCTGCAGGGGAAGTCGGGCAGGAGCCTGGGTTGGGGAATGCCGGAGACGAGTGGTGGTGATAGGTGATAACAGGCAGGGTTTCTCCAGCTGCCTGTGTCTGGTGCTGCTGCTGGAGAGGCAGCTGCCTGTGTCTGGTGCTGCTGCTGAAGAGTGACAGTAGTGGCTTCATTAGGGGAAGAAAGTACACTAGTGCCCTGGATAGGGAAGTTGCTCATACGGTATTACTGTGTAATTCATTATTGTTCCTCCTCCTCTTCTATTTCTGCCTACATTTTTCGTCACTGCGAAGTCCATAGCCCCATCAGCTTTATGCTTCATGTTCTTGTCTATACTGTGTCACCCTTGGTCACAGGGAAGTAGTGCTCCATACGTTCCTTGAGACGTATGAGTTGGGGAATAAAACACGTGATATAAACCAATAGACAAAACTGTAGTGCCCTATGATGTGCTTTGCCAATTAAAAAATGTAGCTTGGGACTTTGTGTAATTAGGATGGCTTTGAAAAAGATCTGGTTCTGTTCTGATCCCAGTGCAGCTATCTTGCTAACGTGTAACTAATGGCTTAATTTAACCTTGTGGGGAATCTGAAGTTTAATTTGCTTTTAGTTTCTGCTGTTCAGCTTCAGATACTCTTGTTTGTATTTTGGGCTTCCTGTAACAAGATTTGTTAGGGCCTTGGAAAGCCTTAGGCTTAGAAAGTAGTAATAATGGCTGAGGTGGAGGGAAAGCATTAGTGTACCAAATGTACAAACTTTGGGTTTGTAAAGCTTAGATATTTGTCTGTCAAATTCATCTATTGGATTAATGCTCAGAACCCTTCAACTTTATTGGACTAGCTAGGAAAGAAAACTCTGTTTCCTGAAAAATTATGAGACTTTAAAGCTTATCCTTGTTGCTCATAAAGAATAAGACTGCTGTAGAGGGGTAAGGGAAGATGTGGAAGAAGAGATTTAAGTGCTAGAATGCAGTCTATGCCCAAGACATGTTGAATATGGATGGCTGTGTTCCTGCCTGGAACCACACTGAGGTAACTGAGATGGTCTTAGGAGAGCTGAGGAGGAGGTCCTGCTTAAAACAGAAAGATCTGACTGCTACCTGTGTTGCTTGGAAAATCCGTAGAAGAAACAGTGTCTTTCAAGTATGTGTTTCCATGAACTCTTTCTGATTTCAACCTGCTTATGAACTGATCTTTGCATACATGTGTTGTGTTAGAAAAGAAATATCTAGAGGGTTTTTGGCAGACCCTGTTGCTTGCTTGTATTTGAAAGGCCATGCTACAGCTGGTAGGACCAGGAGGTGATTACTGTTATAGTTGTCCTGCTGTTAGCTCAAATTTATTTTCTTTAACATAGTAAAAAGGAAAAGGAGGGGTGGGGGAACTTCTTACATAGCAGATTACAATAGCAACTAAGTAGCGGAAGACTCTTACATCATGCATATATATTTTTGCAGCTTAAGAATCAAGATAGGCAACAAAAAATTTTCCGAATGCGACACTGAAGAGTTTCAGGTTATGTTACACTAGACAAAGCATCTTGAATATTTCCAGCACTTCTAAGTTTGCTACAGCAGTATTTCTTAAAATCCAGTTTGCTATGCTGATATGACAACCTGCTCAGCTGAAGAAATTCAGTATAATTTAAATTTTATCTCTTAGTAGTAGTGTGGCTAAGTTCTCAGTCATAAAAAGGTCTTGTATCATAAAGATCCCTGTCCCTTTAGGGTGCTATGGGTGTTGATTTTGCCACTGTTATTGAACTGTAGATGTATGCCAGACCTCAGAGAGGTACCTATTGGATCTAGTCAGATTTAGGGCCTTAATGTAAGGTAATGTCTGATGCTTGTTTTGAAAGCTGATGTAGGCATGACTAGTGTAGACCTCATTGCATTCTTACTTATATGTTACCTGGATTTTCTGAAAAAGTGCCTTTCTTTTGGCTAGGTCATAGAAAGGAAATTGAACACTGAAGACTCATGTTTCAACTCTTCTTGAGAAGCAGAAAAAACAAGACTAATTTTCAGTCAAGAAATTCAATGCTGCATGTGAAAGTTTGCAAAAATACTTAGGTCTTGCAGCTTCAGAGTTTAGATAAAAGCACACCAAACACAACCAGGATTTTGAAGTTTATATGAGCTAGAGTACAGACTCTAACTTTAGGTCTAATTATTTAATTTACTCTCCAAATTACAAACCATCACTGAGGAAGACAAAATATATCTATAAAACTTGCTGATGCTAATGTGCTTCTAGGAAAGAATAATGAAATAATCCTTAACACACTTTTGATGTATATATGTTACGTATTTTGAACATATAAGTGAACATAGTAGGTAGTTATCTGCAGTGACCTGGTACAGGTATGTAGATTTTTTTATGTGTGTTTTTAATTGAAGGGATGTATTTCAAGTACTTAGAAGATTCCAGGCGAAACTTAACTCTTAATTTCGGTCTGTTTCTGTTTCATGTACATGTGAAACCTGTATTTCCAGAATAGTGAACACTTCTCCATGTAGAACATGGTTACATGACTAATACCTGCTTTCTTTATGGCACTAAGAGTTGCATAAATTATTGCATCTTGTATAATAACTAGATATGCTGCAGTTCATAGCCATAGTAGCAAACAAGGTAGAACTTATCCCACTATCTTGAGTACAAGAAGGACTGTTTATTCCTCCCACTAGTAATAATTTTATTTAACAAAACAACAGAACCACTGGTCCAGTCTAAGTGGTCTGAAAACTTTGTGGATAACACTAATATTTTATACCCTGATTAGACTTGTTACTGGAATGACTTTAATTTTTTTTTTTTTTCTTAAAGGGTGTTTGCAAACCACTGCTTTAAAGCTATCATAATTAGAATAACTGTAGAGCATGTTTTTTTGTTAAATGAATGGAGAAAAAAATACATTCTTGCTTTTCATTAGAGCAAATGAAGTTGGTTTATGATTAGTCTGGATTTTTTTAGGTCAGTACACACTGTACTTTAACTTCTAACAGATGTAGCAGTACAGTAAGGTTTTGGATAAGAATAGTTAAATGAATTGGAAATTATTTTTTAAGTGTTGAGAAGTCCTTGTAGGATTTCTTTTTCAGGTCAAGTTAGTATCAGCCAGGTTCTATCTTTGCTGAGGAGACTTCAGTGATTATGCTGCCACTTATCACGTCTACATTTTTTTTGCATATGAAATATAACTATTCAATAAAGCTAACTGTAAAGTTTTGTGGCTTTTAAGTTGCTGTCTTTAATTTACAAAGACAATGTCTTCTGTTCCCTTAATCAATCTGCCGTATAGCACACCTACTTCATATGAATGTTTTAATGCCTTAGTAAATGTTTGAAATGCTGGCAAATGGAAGAACTTGTTCATTCCTTCATGCTAGTATTGTTCTTTGGTCAATGTTTCCTAAAAATAAAATAAGAAAGCTGCCAAATCTATAAATAATGGCAGTGGAGTAACACCTGAATGCTTCTGTTAGTCCCACATGGATTTAAGTGTGGTGGTTAGATTTAATAAAAAGGCCATAGTAGAGTATTAGAAAATTAAGACTGTGTCAAGAGCTGCCTCCTTATAGAAAGCTGAAGTGGTAAATTATGGTGGGGACTGTACTGATGTGCAAATAGCTGATCGATAAGATTTCCAGGTTTGTTTCTTTATTTAATATGTAGAGTACTCTAGGCAGATTGGTTGAAGTTCAGCCTGGTTAGTTGAGCTTCTGGATGGTGCAATGCTTGTTGAAAACTAATTTAAAACCATTGCTGCCCTTCTGCTCTGGTCTTGGAATGACAGTAGAGAATCATGTTTGAATTTTAGAATGAGTAAGTATAACTGTAGGGCCTGTGTCATGACAGGTGCTCATCAGTCATCTGTGAGGTTACAGAACTCTTAATTTTATTTGCAGCTTCATTTTATGTGCAGCCGAGCACAGGGTAGTTAGACTAACATGTAGATGTCTGACAGTGTTACTTCTTTTGAATCAGTTTTTTCCAGTTTGTCTGTGCCTCAGAGCAGCATATGCAAGGCCTTTTCTCTAGGTTGTATGATACTTCTGCTGCAGGGCAAACTTTTTTCTCAGTTAAAGTAAATCACCTCAGTTGCTCTGAAACAGTTGCAAAGTATTTTTAAATAGCTTCACACCCTTTGTATTATAGGGAAGGATGTCTGTTCAAAAGCCTTATTGTATCTTGTTTTTGTAATGGCAGGGGGGAAATTATGCTGGTTTGACAATCATGATTTGAAAGCTGCATCCTGAACTTGCTTCAGCTGTAGCTTGTATTCTAATTCTATTCATAACCTTGACTAATTATGACACTGTTATGCATTCCGGTTGAAATTTGTGTGCGCTTCAAAGTGAATCTGGAACCTTAATACATGAGCATGGTTTGAGGCGTGGTATTTTGCTGGCTTAATACTTGAGTGTTGAATCTTTGAGACCCACAGGAGAGAACAAAACTGAATAAGCCCTGTGTAGTTTGGCTGGCTTAAGCTGACACTATATCAATCCACTGTATACCTGGATTTTAAGGCTAATAAACACCTTAAAATGTAGCTTTGTAAGTATATTCATTTTAGACCTTCTGTCACACAATAGTAAGTTTGCCCTTGCAACTCTATTGCAATAAAGTAATCTTTGACTAATTATCTCTCCTTCTTTTTAGGTACTGTGGTAAATGGCCTAATTAACATTAGTATTTCAACAATTGAGAAGCGTTATGATTTGAACAGTTCCCTCACTGGCTTAATCTCTGCAAGCTATGACATTGCCTTTTGTATGTTATCACTCTTCGTATCTTTCTTTGGAGAAAGAGGGCACAAACCACGATGGCTTGCTTTCTCAGCATTTATGCTAGGACTGGGCTCACTTACATTTTCCTTACCACACTTCAGCAGTGGAAAATACCACTATGGAGCTAAATTTGAAGGTAAGCTTATCCTTATGTTTTGAAAGTTATTTAAGAAAAGAAATCTCTATAGCAACTTGATACAACCGTTAATTTGATACAATGTAGTTAATGTCTGTCAATTCTAAAAATAGGGTATTATCACTTACCTTGAAAATGAAATGATTCTTTCAAATCTGTAAGTTCAAGACCTGTGAAGGTTGGAACACAGTGAACTTTTTCAGAAGAGATTTGAGTGTCAATATCAATATCTTACACGTAAGCAACATTTGAATAAAATACTTATTTTGGCTTGCATTGATGAAGGCAATAAAAATTGACTTTGAATAAAAAATGATCTGACATTGTGTATACGAATGCAAGTTAGGTCAATGATGCAGAATAAATGTTAAAGGAAAACTCATAGACATACTGTCTTGTTGAAAGGTGAATACATGTTGCAGTTCTCTTGGGTTTTGAACTATTAAATGCAACTTGAGTAATTCATTAACAAGTTACACTAAGTTCTTCTAAAATATTGAATAAAACTTGTGAACTTCGTTGAAATAAAGAAGGAACATGCAGTACTGAACTATACTGAAGAAAGCAATAGTGAAATTGTAGGAGTAGCCAGCTCTCAGGTCTTGAGTATCTTTTCTCATAAAACAAGACCTTAACTGCAGTGTGCTTAGTGCCAACTATTTTCATCTCAACTTAGTGGCACACCTGTAACCTGTTAATAAAGAAACATCCAGATATCTTTAAAGCAGGATGACTTAATATTTTAGGATTGTCTTAATTGTTATTGCAGTGTTTAATCAGATTTATGCCTTCAATGACTAAGCATATTAGAGTGCTAGCTAAAAAAAATCAGTAGCTACTAAGCAATCTGATGGAAGGTTCCCAGTCTTCTGGTTTTTGATTCTCTAATTAATGTTAATTATGTCACACACATCCATAGACTGTCCAGGCATCAACCATTAATTAAATAACTTTGGTAAGCCATTGTTCCCTATCTAATAAATGAGGATTTGAGGCAGAAGTTAATTGAACTTTTAACTAAACAATGCCAAAAGAAAAAACTCTTCAGTGTTTAGAAGCTATTACTTCTTTCCCCTTAGTAAAGGGGCAATAGCTTACTTGCTCCTGGTTATGTTACAGTCCCATTTCTTTACAAGTTAAGTTTCAGTATTACACTCCTTACTTAACTAATATGGAAGGGGAACTGAATTTATTACAAAAAATTCCAACCTGATTGCATTCTTTTGTTTAATTGAAACAAGATACTGACAGGGTGGGAGTGTAGCCCACTATTGAAATGGATCTTTCCGCCTCCTAACAAACTTGGTTGAAGTCTCAAAGAATCTGTGACTGTTTCATTGAACATCTGTCACTTAATTCACCATTAAAGGTGATGCAGGTGTTGAAGTCCATGTTCTACATGGACTTTTGAAATCTAAAAGCTGTAAGGAAAACTTTAAATGGAATGCATGCTTTCTTCTCCATGGCACTGCAAGCTGACTGAATTCATGCTGTTCTGACTGCTGTAATGCAGGTAAATAACCTGTGGCTGTAGTGAGCAGATTTAAGGGCTTAAACTGACTTAAAGAAAACACTGTCAAAGATAAACGACTACAGAATGCAGGGAGTGTCTGCACCATGACAGTTTTGATGTAAATCTGCAAGTACTGTGCAATGGCATCTTTTACCAGTTAAGTTAACCACAGTATGTAATTTTATAAGATGTCTGGTTAGCTAGTTCTGATGTTGAGGAAGCCTCTTAACTATACATTTATTTGCAGAATTTATTAGCACCACACTCCAAAAACTTTCCTTATGTTTGAATGAGTAGTTTATAATTGGGAGTAAACCCCTATTTGATGCTTTGTATTAATATCTACTGCCTAGTTTATTTTTAAACAGTTCCTAGTTAGTTACTTGATTATTTATATTCAACTGTTACATATAAGTAGAGTGATTTTCATCTTTAGGGTAACTTCAAAGTGTAGTTCAGTACAATATTTATTATGGCTGCCAGGTTAATTAGTAGATACAGTCTGGAATACAAAATACATCTAACCTCCGGTATAAAGTTTACAGACTTTCTAGAACCTATTGTTTTACCTTGAGATATTAATTTAATTTTATTCTGAGTATATACATATACTCTACAAAACTATTACCCATGTAAATATTTAACGTAGTAACACTCTTTAAAAATAATTTAATCAATTTCCTATTGAAAGATGAGCTAACCAATGGTCTATTTACAGACATCTTTAGCCACAACAAGCATGTCTTGTCTAATCTCCATAAAGGCTTTTAACTCAAATTTATAACCTAAATGTATCCAGTAATTTGTTCAGATTACTTTTTTACTTTTCAAAGGGTCTTCAGTGTCTCAGCTGGTGTTGTTATTTGTAGTCAGGAGCTCCATCTAGTGGTTAGTTTGTAACGAAAGCATGCTACATTTGTTTACCGGTAGTTAATACAGAGGACTGTAAGAACAGCAGATGCTATGAGCAATGCACTTTTAAGTTTCTGTCTCAGATCTTACTGAAGCGTACACATTTGTAAATGGTATCTGTCACAGCAAATGTGAGATGTAGATCTTCACTTGACAGAAGGAAGATAACTTTCTTGTGAAGACAGTCAAGCATTGGAATGTTAGTCAGGGTCTTATTACTCAGCAGGGTCTTGAAATCCCCCAGTTAAGTCCTGAGCAACTTGGTCTGCATTCAGTTTTGACATTGTTGGGATTAGGAGGTTGAACTACATGACTCCATTATGCCTTTGCTGACCTTGATTATTTCACAGGCCTCTTCATTAACAGGATGTGAATGATGTCTTTGGACAAGTCTTAGCCATTTGAGTTAAAGTGTATGTAGTGTGAGTTGAGAAGAGAATTACTTGAATACCTTTCTTCAGTTCTCTGGTCTACTGGAAACTCAATTGGTGGATTAGTAATTTCAGGTCCAAGACATAGTGAGTCTTTTCAGAAGGGCAATAATTGGTCTATCTTACAAGAATATGCCAAGGACAATTAAAGACTGAAGAAGATTGTGGCATTTGGGTACTCATGGTGACAGAATATATATGATGCCAGCCTCTAATTTGAGTGTTTGTCTTGCACCATCAGTATGTCAGTGGTTTTTCTGTTGATTTTGCTCCTTGAAGAGATTACCTGGTTAGTTGAATAATAGTGCTGTTCTGTACACTGCTACGTCTATTTCTCTACACCACTTAGATGTTCTGTAATACTGTAATATCAGCCTTTAGAAACTAAGAACTTAGTTTCCATTCAGCATGTTAATTGAAGTTTTGAGTGAAGTTCTCATTCAAGACTAAAAGGGAAGACAGATTTTTAAGTTTAAATAGGAATATAAACCAAGCTATTCTTTATTTCTCACTTCTCAACTCTCTTTAAGCAATTCCCCACCCCCTAAAAGACAAAAAAAACCCCACACCTACTGGCTGCAGTTTAAGATGCAAGTAAAAGTAGTCTTAATGCTAAAGCATCTCACAATTGGTTCTGCTTTTTTGGCTTGTATGTTGCATTAGACATTCTGGAATATTTTGGCCTTTGCACAACTTGGATTCAGATAGACATGTTTAAAACATGCGAGAATGTTTATAATGACTAACTGTTGCATGGTGTTGACTTTAATGCAGTTCTGCCTTTTAAAGTGCAAGTCTAATCCACTGACTTTTAAAAGGGAAAAATGTTTAATGAGAAAAGGTAGTTGAAAGTAGTCAGCCACCCATCTTAAACTTTTCCCAGATAAATTAGACTTCCTTGATTTATGTAAAATCCAGTGTGTTTGCTCTACACCATTCTTATGAATGCAGTAAACAGGCTTGTGGATCTAATCCAGGTTAGATTTAACTTGTGTCACTTTATCAATCTGCTTAAACCTTGGACTAGTACAAGAAGGGGATGATTTGAATGGCTGAGGTAGGGAGACTAAACTGTTGCTTGGTGGTAGTTTTGACTTATGCTCATTTAAACCAATATTGTAGTTTTGTGGTAAATCATCTTTGCTTTTAAAATGTTTCTTGGAAATGTGAACCATGGCTCCACTCAGCAAGTGCATGTGTACATGCTGACTTAAAAAAAAAATAAAAAAAATTTGATAGCTAATGCAAATGAAAAGATTACAATTGTACTAAAGTGCATATTGATGGTTCTCTTAATTCTGTAGTTAGACCTGATTACATGGTGCTGAAAACAAAGTAGTATGATGACTTTCTGTCATCTCAATGTCAGGATTAATTTCCTAGGGCTTATAAATTGAAGAGCTAGGAAACTGAAAGAGGGGCTGTAATCAATTAGTTACCCAATGTCACAGGCTTTTAGATTGACATGAATTGAGGCATTGCGGGGTGGGGATGGGGATTCATGAAGAACCACTGTGTCAGAGTTTGATTGTCATTGTACATCATATGTAATCTACTTATTTCATGAAGCTATTTCTAGATCTCTAATTAGGCTGCACTTTTGTCATTTAACATAGTTCATTGCATTTTCTTGCTCTGCATTTCTTGTCTTCTGATATGTATATTTTAGCAGGATGCTATTATTTCTGTACTACAATAAAATAACTAGCTCAATGCTGTTTTAAACTTGCCTAATAGGTATTACAGGCTAACTTACATAGAAAATACCTGCAGTTTTATTTGCTGTATGTGAGTGTGTATGTTAACAAGATATTGTAGGACACGGTATCCCTCTATAGTCAGTGTTAGACAATGTTAACATAATTCAAGACTTTACTTGCTGCAGTAAAGAGGAATACTGCTAAAGAAAGCAAACTGACAATAAATGGAAAATATACTGTAAGAACTTTAATTTTCAGAGTAGTGATTCATAATAAAGTGTTCAAAATAAAGCCATGTGGCTTCAGTATAGCATTAAAATGAGAATTGTTCCTAAGTGAAAGGAATAAAAATTTTAATGACTCCTCTTCTTCAAGTAAAATTTTCCCATCAGTTTTTGTGCAACAACACTAGTCGCCTGTTACGTGGTACATGACTCCACCATCACTATAGTGCTGTTTCATCTGGAGAAAGGCATGATAAAACCCATGGATGCATTTATGATTACATCAGTGTAGACACTTCTCTTTAAGTATCTGTTGTGTGGCAAGCACTTCCTTGTGTTTTATCTCCTTTGAGCCCAAAGTGTGAACAAGCTTGACCTTTGTTTGCTTAAGTAAAAAGTGCTCTCAAATGTAAAAGGAGAAAAAAAAATGTAATAATTTTGTATTCAAGTATTAAAAAATAGTCAGTCTACCCATCTTATGGGGAAGATGTTTTCACATATTTTCTCAGTGTGGCTTGCTTCCACCAAACTTGGAGGTTTATCCTTTTCCTTAAGCTTGTATGCTCTTATGTGGAAAAACCTGGGAAGAACCATACTCTTCTTTTTAATCTTGTCACTTAGGACTGTCAGCTACTGAAAGTGCAATGACAGCAAGAGGAAGGAGAAAAGGAAACATACTCTCTTGTCTTCACTTCCTCTTTTCTCTTACTTCCTCATAGTGCCAAACATTACAGAAGTAGGTGCAACCGTAGGCTGTTCTACCTCTGCTACTTTTTTTGTGTGGGTGGATATGTACAGAGGCTTTACATTAACTTCTTGTTCTGGAGATATGGCAGTGTGTGCTCTATGAGAGACAGTGGTGTGGGTTTTAAAGGTTTGGGTTTTTTAAATTAATGTTTAGGATAACACTTCTCAAAACCTTGTATGAGAAGGGAGAATTATCTTTGCTTGTGACTACACTTTTCTCTCCAGCAGTCCAGCTTTCCTCAGGTTGTTCAGGCTGCTCTGTCACTTAAGAATGGAAGTTGTTAGTGCTGCTGAGAATTATAAGATACGAGAACAGAATGAAGTGTCTGTTACCTAGAAGTATTCACTAACCTGTTGAATGACTACTTGACAGTTTTTTGCATACATCGAGTCAATAATACTTTCAACAAGCTAAAACACTTTAATAAGGCTGTTTCATCCATTTTTCCTTCCTGATAAAGAAACAAAACCCAAGCCATGATAATATTTCTTTTGGGGGATATGATATTATTGAAAGTCAGGGCACTGTCATATAGTACTTGTATGTTAGTAGTTCTGAAAATTAAAATAGGAGCCTGGCACTAACAGCACTTCATATGTAGTTTAGCTTTCAGTATGGGCTTATTTTCAGTTGGACTGTGAGCTGGATAACAGAATTTTAAAGCCTTGCCATATCTGTCTTTCAGATACATGTCAAATTCCAGGAACAAGTTCTGCTAACTTCACTTGCAATGCCAGTATGAAGTCTTCACTTCCCAACTATCTGTATGTCTTTATCCTGGGACAGCTGCTGCTGGGAGTTGGAGGAACTCCACTATATACTTTGGGTACAGCTTTTATTGATGATAGTGTCCCAAAACACAAGGCTTCCCTTTATATAGGTAACTCTTAAAACTGCTTATAACATGTTGTCTAGATTATAGACTGCAATGCCTTACAAATGCATTTATGAATTCCTCTAATTAAATCAATCTTATAATTGTTTACTTATCTGCATAAAGCACAGTAATTTATACAGAAACACAAGTTAGTCATTAGTCTACTCTAAATGTCAAGTCTATTCAAGAGCTATTTTGCAGAGCATGGTAAGGCTACTTTCTGTACTTCTGCAGTTTTTTCATGTCAGTAACTGAAAATCATTAAATGGCTAATGTAGCTTGCCTGTTAGCAAAAGAATTAGTTGTAGCAAAACTTTAGTTTTTGTTGTCAGAGGTATTGAAAGCTACTGTGTATCAGGTCAGTAGCCACACTTTACTGCATCCTTTTAGCAGCTTTATTTGCCTTTTAACGGTAGGCTGTTGCCTCAGTGCAGGGACTGTGTATCAGTGCAGGCACTGTGTATCAAGTAATCAGTGCAGTTCTCTAGCCACATATAAATTTGGCACTTCAGGAGGGAATACTGGAAGTACCTTTTCTTAATTGAATGTATAGGAATTGCCTAGAAACACAGAGAATGTTTGTCTTACTGTGGGATTCCTTGAAACCTAAGGTATTTCTTAGCAGTGGTTTTGGATCTTTCCAGTCAGCATTTTCTATCTTATGTCCTTTTTACTGCCAAGATCATTGCAGTGTAAGTGTGTTTTCTGTAAGTATGAAGAGATTCTCTCTTTTCCCCATGTTAGGTGTAAGCTGGTAACTGTAACTTGCCTGGAGGAATTCAAAGCATCTTAGATTCCTGGACTGCTTTCCAGACTACATCAATATTTTATGGGGCAAAATTAAAATAATTATTTATTTGCATACAATTCTTGCTTAATTGTCCCAGGCAAGCCATTTGATTTGATGTGAAGAAATAAAATAGTTGCATATACTAAATATTAAATAACAAAGACAGCTTTTATTATTGCTGTACCCTTATACTGAGAAGATTGTTATACTTTCTTCTTTTTTCTTTTTTTTTTTCTTCCCCTGAGGCCAGTAAAAGAAATAGAGCAGAGCTCGGGTTGTCTGCATGATTAGGGGATCAGTAGGTGGCCTGAAAATGCACAGGAATGGTGTCAGTGTTCATACTTAAAATGTACCAGAACAATACAATAAATTAATGCTTGTGCAATCTTCTGACGACAGCTGAGTGCAGAACAGTGTATTCTGCCTAATATAATGAAACTAGAAGTTTCAGGTAGCTACTTTTTTTTTATGCAGTGTATTAAGGATTTTAAAATATATTGTGTTGCTTTGCCTAATGCAAAAAGGTTGGGCAAGGCAGCAAAAATATCCAAACCCCAAAATTTTCAGCTAGTGTCTGTAAATAACTGCTAGCATCTTAGACTATAAGCTTGCAACTTGAAAGATGGTAGTTTCTTTTCTGAAACTGAGTGTGATTTCATGAGGACTGCTCTCCTCTTGCTGAACTGAGGCATCTACATCTAAAGCCAATGAAACGTTACACATTTCAAAATGATAATGTAAACTGAATGGTTTGTAGGAGGATATAGGCACCTTCCCGGCTAAGTCTGAAGTTCTGTAGGATGGATGTGGACTTCATTCCAAAAGATCCTATGACTATGTCCTTTTTTTCAAAAAACAGGAAAACCTGGGATATGTCAACTCTATATTTACTTTGACTTACTGATACTTGAGTGTCCCCTTCTGTGTCCCTTCCCACTCTTGCAACCCTCCCAACCCTTCCTTCCCTGATCATTCCTTCTTTCTGTCTGAATTGAGTGAAATAATACTAAATACTCAGGATCCAGGCACTTTGGAAACAAATGAGAAATCCAGATTATTCGACCTGGGGAGATGCATTGAATATCAGCAGTAAGGGTGCATGTCTTACCCATTATTTAGATAGATCTGGATACTATTAGTTATAAGCCTTTATCGGCAGAGACAGGGCTCCTGCCAGCAGTGTTAAAGTGTCACAGAAATCTAGCTGGTAGGGCAGGGAGAAAGCATATTGTAACATCAAGAAAGTCTTGTCCCAAAGCCAAAAAAATTATAAATGGATAAACCTAAGAGTGCTCTTTAGTAGGATATGGCTACACTTGCAAATTTGGAGTGGATTTTTTTTAAACTGTCAGGAGCTGTTAAGAACCCTATTTTAAGGCTCATTTCAATAAACAGAAATGCATATTATTGAGTTCTCAATGAACTCAAATTACTCCAGTCAAAAGTTTTAATGGAACCCTGGATTCTGGTCTTAAGAGATGTATAAACAAACTTAAGAATGGGGAGAAAAAAAACCTAAAGAAGACTGGACTTGTACTACTAACAACTGCTCATAACTTCACTGCAGAAACCTTTTTCAGAAGCAAGCCTGTACCTGTAGGCACAAGATGTGCAGAAGTCAATGTAATAATGCATAAAGATGCTGTCAGTGAAGTGTTATTTGTGAACCTCAGAGTTGCAGCTTTTAATAAGAACTGCAAATTTTCTTAGCAAGGGACAAGGACAAATTTAGTCTGCTATGATAGTCAAATTAATGACAGTGAAAGAACAGGTTGAACTACAGAAACCATTTGGTCTGAAATGGATTTAGGGTTTTTTTAAAAGAAAGATTTAAAAATGTATGGTGAACTTGATGTATTTTCTCTTCTAGGAATTGGCTATGCCATGTCACTGCTGGGTCCTGCTATTGGTTATGTCTTAGGAGGGCAGCTACTTAATATTTATATTGATATCCAGATCCCAGAAAGGCAAGATACAACTTAAGTCTTTTGTTTTCTATTTTGTTTTCTTAATTCTTATTAAAATATTCAGCTTTTCTCCATGTGGGGAGTAGGAATTGTAAGGAGTGCGCTTATTTGGCAGATACTGCATTTTCAAGAGCTTTTTTAACTTTATAACAAGTTACATTCATAAGGGCATCTAGCAAGTGAGTTACTTCCCACAGTGAGTAGTGACTTCATTGTATATGAAAGTCTCTCTATAGTGCAAATACTTAGTTGTAGCTATTTTAGAGTGGATTAACAGAAGATGATTTGATTAGTTGATCATTTAGTGTTAGATTGCAGCTATCGCTTTCTTATGCAGAAAGTTTCCCTGAGGTGAAATATGACGATTAGGATATGTCTACTGGCCTCCTGGGGAAGAGCTTGCAAGAAAATCTATCAGTTGAGTAATAGTCCACTACTCAAAAGATAATGTTATAAATTGTACTACTGTCCAAACCAACAACTTAACTTTTTTTTTTCCAGTGTTTTAGGGACTTTGGATCAATGCAGTAGCATTCTGAACATCTGTATTGGCTTTCACATAAATCAGTGTTTAAGAAGATTCTTTCTAAAAACAGCTTTTCCAGTATCTTAGTAATACTGCTGAATCTTGAAATCAGGGCGAAATAGTGGCCTTTAAATCAAAATGAATTTGAATGAGTTTTGAAAGCTATTTTTGATAGAATGTAGTAGTATAATAGAGTTGATGAATGTGCTTTAAACAAGCAAATGATAAACTTGATACATGCAGAAGACAAGAAAATTACAATAATGAAAGGAGCTTTGTTAAATCAGTATTAAAAAAAATTCCATCTCACTGACACATGAAACTACTGATTTGAATTCATGAATGGTAAACCTGCTTTTTCCAAATTATTTTTCAGTACAAAGATGGATCAAGATGACCCACGTTGGCTTGGAGCATGGTGGATAGCATTCCTTGCATGCTTTCTTGCAATTTGGCTTCTTATAATACCTTTTTCATGCTTTCCAAAATTCCTACCAGGTAAATATTTAACAATAATGGGCTAGTTTGGAAGAGAGATTTGTTTGTACTTGTGGGTTATAGGCTACTGGACTGAGTGACTGATTCCTCTTTGACACTGTTTCTTAGTTAACTCTCTTTTGCTAAAACCTGGTGATAAATGCCTTGTTTCCAATATACAGGTTTTAAAACAAGGCAAGTGGGCTAGAGAGAGGATCTGGTGTACATGGTGATGTATGGTAGGACTGGAAACAGGTAGAGCATGGAAACTGTTGGTTAAAGTTCAGAAGATGCTTGCAGCACAGAACCCAGGACTGTGTTTAAAGCTGCTATGTTATCCATCAAGAATCATAAGGAAATTCCTTTGACTTAACTCATGTACTGTTGTCTTTAACTCTGTTGCCTTGTTGTCTGGAGTGTAATAAGGCATGAATCAAAGTATCCCAGAGCGGTCTTCTGAAAAGAATAATTTTAATATTATATCTATTCTGGCAGTATTATCTAGGAGTCCCTTGGAAGAACATCTAAAGCAACTTGCTATGCTTATCTGGAAAGAGAAGTGATGAATAAAAAGAAAACAATGAAGTAGGAAACTGGGAATCATGTAAGGAAATAAAAAAAATAATAAAAATTGAGTGGACTTCAGGATAGTTTGACATTATTAAGATATTCCTGATAATATCTTCTTACAGCCAAGGCCTTCCAATGGAAGCGTGATGCTTTCAGCCAAATTCTTCTTTCTGCAGCAATATATTATTGGATTTCTTATGAATCTGTACCGATAAAATATTGAAGACAACTTACAATGGTCTGAGCTAGTTTTCTGAAGAAAAGGAAACACTAATATTGATTCTTTTTTCTGACTTCAAAAGCACTAGTATTCAATGTTTTAAATGTCAATAAATATGCCCATTTGTAGGAACAGCAAAAATACAAGCTGAAAAAATCTCAGAAACCCATAATGATGGAAGTGAGGTGCTTGTTGAGACCAAGAATATTGGAAGAAGTTTTAAAGACTTTCCCATGGCTCTCCTGGTAAGGAAATATTGATATTCTGAGAAATGAAATTCATTTTCTGGTAATACACAAGTGTTTAGAAAGGTAGCTGCTGCTTTAATTGTGTTGTGATAGGAAATTCTGCAGTGCTACTGGTAATTTAATGTATGTTCATTTTGTTAATGCTTAAGACTGTTAAAGCAAGAAAAGCATGTTATTGAAGTTCAACATGAGTTCTAGTTTACATTGTATTACAATGAACCAATTTCCTGAGTGTTATGCTAATTTACCCCTTAGATCCTGTTGAAGAATCCAGTGCTTATGAGTCTAATAATAGCCAGTTCTTCAGAAGCATTAGTTGCCACTGGCTTTGTCACATTTCTACCAAAGTTTATAGAAAATCAGTTTGGAAAGACATCAAGTTTTTCAGCAGTTCTTGGAGGTAATGTGACTTTTCATTTTTAAATCTTAAATATATTGTGTTGAACATGTCTTTAACATTATAATTGGAAGCTTATATAGGCATCTTGTATTTGTCTGAGGTATTTGTAAATATACCTAAGTGAAATGCAGTTTCACAGCAGAAGCAATATTTCTATATTATTCTTGCCTGCCATATGAAAACTCTAGTATTTAATTCATCAGGAGTGCAAATTTGCTCATTGTCTAAGTTCAGAAGACTTGATACTCATATTCTCATAAAGTATGAGAATTTTATGTGCTGCTGAAACTGTAATTTATTTCTTTGTTATTCTTGGTGAAAAATACTTGATTTTCCTCATTTTAAAATCAGCAAAAGGTGCATTAACCCTTAGTCTCTACTAAAAGAAGTAAGATGAAAGGCAGCTGGAAAAAAGCAGTGCTTACCTCAAGTAATGGGTTGACTTTGCCGTTCCCTTAAATTCTACTATAACGTTAAAATGATAGCTTACAATAAAATGTAATAATCAGAATATATTATAAAACCATTGTGTAACTCCTTCTATAGTTGGCTTACTGTCTCATTCCTATTAATTGATATGTGGAAGTAATAGAACAGGAGAAGGCTATGAAAAGCTGAGTATTGGAGACACAAGTAGGAAAATCTGATGGAAGAGCTGCAATGGCTAAGGTCACATGATTAACTCTGATACAGTTACTTCTGAAAAACAGCAACCAGATCAAGACAGATAGACTGGCAGATGCTTGCAATATGGCAGATATTTCTGGAACACGTCTTGCTAAGTTACTTCAGATGTATAGTGATGCAATATAAGCATATGCTAGTTGAAGTGTTCTTTCTCCAACAGGAATATGTTTGAGGGAGACTTTCTGAATGACTTACTTTCCTGGATAATACTAGATAGTATTGTCACAGTTCAGACATCATTGCTTCAAAACAAAGTATCTGCAAGTTGTACATAGAAATATATTGGAGTACATGCCCAATTGTTAAACAGTAATGAGCAGCGAAGTGGAAAACAGTTCCTTTTTTTGTCTGTAGGATTTGTCTGATTTTTTTTTTAATTTGAGCTGAAAATATTGATAGTGTTAATCAAATGTACAGCTTTAAAGAAGTGCCTACACTAATGCTGAAAGCTTGCTGTGCCTGAACTAATGTTTAGCTACCTAGTCTGTGTTGTAAATGACCACGTTAACTATTTAAACTACTTATGACTATGGGTGTCTGCTGCCTGTGCAATTCTGCCACTGTACCTGAACTGTCTTTAAAATTAGTCTCTGGTCAGTACAAATTACACTGAGTTCTGTGCTGTATTGTAGACCAGCCTTATAAGAATACTCAGTTATATATCTGGAGTCTTAACAGTGTAAAAAATAAAAATATAAATAAATTAAAAAATCATGTACTGTATTGACTATGACAGCAACACTGACCCACTGATCTACATTTTTATTTAATCCTTTCATAGATGACTTATTGTATCTTGTGCTGTCTCTTGCATAATAATGATTACGTTCTCTTATTAAAAAGTTCATAACACAAATGTATAGCAAAGAATATGGAAATGTGAAAAAAACACTGAAGCAACGAATGAACATTTTCTGCTTTTGTGAAGCAACATACTGGTATGCAGAGATTACTGGCCAGCATGTAGCATTCTTAAATCTAGTTTTGCTGTGTTGAACTTGGGTTTTGGACAACTATAAATTATGTTGTCAAGTTGAAATTCTGAAAAGGCTAAAGATAATGTAAGGATAGAATGTATTACTCGTGAACAAATTCTGGTAGAACGGTTTGAAAATGACATCACATGGACTGCATCTTAAGATCCAGGTAACTGTTGCGGTTTTTTTCTTAACTTAAAATTGCACTCTAAATTACTTCACTAATTATATATTGCATTTTTGTGTAATTGCTGGTGTCTTGTTTTCCTCTAGGGCTTGTATTAATTCCAGCAGCAGCACTAGGCCAAATCATAAGTGGCATCTTGGTTTCCAAGTGCAAAATGGATTGCAAAAGCATAATCAAGTTCACGATAGGCACTTGTTCAGTGGCCTTACTATTAAACACAGTGTTTTTATTTGCTAAATGTGGGAATGAACCTTTCGCAGGTGTCTCTGAAACATATGATGGGTAAATATACTTTAATGCACTCTTGGGGTTGGTGTTAATGTTTAAAATAACCTACATCACATAATACAAAAGATTGTCATATTTTGCCTTTATGTATGAAACTGAAATGTTTCATTGAACTCTAAAATCTTGTTCTTGGAACCTTTATGTAATAGGTGATAAGGAAAATGGTATAATGCATTGCCTACAAAATGTTCTGAGCAGACTGGACCTTTTTGACGAAATATCCTAGCTTCTGTAACCATTCTAGGTATAGTAGCCATGGTGTTGACTACAGCTAATGTTCTAGCTCTGTAGAAGTAGTGTGTCTTCTGTATCTTGTTTTATTAACCAACTCTTGACAATCTGGGCAGTTTGTTCCTGGAAGGAGTCTGCCACATGCAACAGTTTCATGAGAGAGCACTGAGGTACACAGCAACTTAAACTGATGGCAGTTTTTTCCCCCTAGAAAAGCAATGATGTTATTGTAGCATCAGGTTCTAGCACATCTAAGCCTCCATTACAAAGAAAGATTTCTTTTTTTTCTGGCTAAAATGGTTGATAGAGGTAGAAATTTAATGCAAAAAAAGCATAGCTTAGTGACCCAAATTGAAAAATAAAATGGGGGAACTAACACAGTTAACTGAAACATAATAAAAAATATTTTTGGCTAACATGTATAGGAAAGACTCTAAACATATAATGGGTAAATAAGTAAAAAAGTATATACTCTTCTTCCCCTTGAACAACACAACTCTCATTCCTAATGAGAATGTCATGTCACTCATTTTTAGATATTTGTAATAATTGTAATAAAAATGCTAGTGTGAATGTTCTTCCTGCTGCTGTGAAGAAAACTGATTCTAGAAATCAGTATGGCAGTAGGAAAAAAAGTCAGAAAAGTGACACTAAAAATGAAGAAATATTAAAAATAAAAATCTGCAAGGATAACCGTTATTTAGAGTAGTCTAGACTTCTAGGTCTACTTGTAAAACTTCAACACTGAATGTATGTGATCAAAATACCAGCATAGGTACTATATTGAATAAAAGGCCCAATCATGCCTTCTTAAGGAATTAACTGTAAGATTAGTGTTTCAGTTCTTGTAGTTTTAAATTAGTGCACATTTCTGTAGCACGGGCAGTGTTTAAAAGCAGCAGGAAAGCAGCTAGATGTGCCAAAATTGTTCTCTCAGGTGGTTGGTTACTCTGTCATGAATTGACAGAGCCAGAGGAAACTCCAGGTTTATAAGGGTGTGCCTAACAGCCAGATGCTGTTGTGCAAAATAACCCTAGTAGGCTGGCAGCTAGGGACTGCTTGCTGCTATTTCAGAAAATCATAAACATGAGCAGCATGCTGTGCAACTGGGTGGATAACTAATCAATATTTTTTGTTGTGGTTTTTTTTTTTCCCCTCAAGTCCCATGTTTTAGAAAAGAGTTAAATGCTAGTATCTGTAAGTTATGCTCCAATGCATAGAAGGCCATTTGAACTTAAACAGGATGGGGAAGAGGATCTTTGCATTTTACTGACACAATAGCATGAAGTGCACTATGAAAATACAGATGTGTTGGGGTAGAAATTGGTTTTGTAGCCTCTAATGCACAAACAGGTTGGTAATACTTCTAGGAGAAAAATTATAAACTTCTAATCAACAGGCTTATATGGATTTCTGACTATTTAACATGCTTTTTGACAGACTTAAAATGAACGTGTAACAAATGAAAGAATGCAGGAAAATCACATCTTACTTATGGAGGCAACTAAGTACACAAATACCACAGAATATGAAGGCTACTGATTTTCCTGGATCCTTTAAGGGGTTCATCAGCAAACTTAACTGTCAAATACGACAATTTTCATAAAAAGTGAAGAGTGACAGGAAAGACTAACTAGATATTTTCAGTTCTCTTGTTTAGGTTAAAGTGAAAACAGCAAAACAGATAACCTCAAGTTAATTGGACAGAAATTCAGAGAGCTTGGAGGAAGCAGTGACTGAAGGCAGTCAGGCTTCCAGTTCTCTTAACAGAGTAGAAATTTAATGCTGTGAAACCTTAACTATTAAATTGTATTTCCTTTTCCAGAAGGCATACAAAATGCATAAACCAGATTTCATATGCTGGTGACTGGAAGAAAAAAATCCTTAAAGGCCAAGTTACCACTGATTATTATTACATCTTTACAACTTGCTGTATCAATTGACAGTATATTCAAAGGCCAGTGTTGACATCTGACACTTAAAACATGGCACTGCTTCAGTAACTGAAAACATGCTAGCTGTTAGCTTACTGTTGGTGCTTCAGAACTGTGAAAACTAGGGTGCAGACTTTGGTCGTGGAAAGTTTGTAATTACATAGTGAGAATCTGTATGTAGCAACTGAATACTGAAGAGATTGTGTAGAAAGTATGTGAATTTATCCGTATTTCTATACAGGTCCTATCACAGAATATTAGGAGTTGAAAGGGACCTCAGAAGATCATCTAGTCCAACCCCCCTGCCAGAACAGGATCACCTAGATCAGGTCACACAGGAACGTGTCCAGGCGGGTTTTGAATGTATGCAGGGAAGGGGACTCCACGACCTCTCTGGGCAGCCTGTTCCAGTGCTTTGTCACCCTTACAGGAAAAAACTTTTTCCTCATGTTCAGATTGAACCTCCTATGCTCCAACTTGTACCCACTGCCACTTGTCCTGTTATTGGCTATCACTGAGAAGAGCCTGGCTTCTTCCTCCTGACACTCATCCTCTACATATTTATAAACATTAATGAGGTCACCCCTCAATCTCCTCTTCTCCAAGCTAAAGAGACCCAGCTCCCTCAGCTGCTCCTCAGAAGGGAGATGCTCCACTCCCTCAGTCATCTTTGTGGCTCTGTGCTGGACTCTTCCAAGCAATCTTCTGTCCTTCTTGAACTGAGGGGCCCAGACCTGGACACAATATTCCAGATGCAGTCTCACCAGGGCAGAGTAGAGAGGAAGGACTCACCACACCCCTTCTGATACACCCCAGGATGCCGTTGGCCTTCATGGCCACAAGGGCACATTGCTGGCTCATGGTCATCCTGCTGTCCACCAACACCTCCAGGTCCTTTTGTGCCTGGCAGCTTTTCAGCCATTCCTCCCCAAGCCTGTAGCGCTGCATGGGGTTATTGCGACCGAAGTGCAATGATTATTATGATTTTATATTGTTCTTTATGTTGCGCCGTATGTATGTTCCTCCGTATGTTCCTTGATTCACTGCTACATCTTAGACTATAGTTTGGTGGACATGTGATCTGCATCAGAATAGTTAGTGACACTACTATAGTGCCAGTTCTGAAACTCATTTCCATGAAGCAGTAAGCTACTAAAATATGTAGTAATATCTTTAACAAATTTTATTAAGCTTGTGGAAGAATAACCAAGTGTTTGACACCTACTTATGCTATTGAACAAATGTTTCTGAAAAAAATTGTGAGAATGCTCTGAGAATTCACTTGGAAATTGATGCAGATTCATTTTCACAGATATTTTGAATAAATCCCTCATGGCAAACATCCCCTTTCTGTTGTAAAATAGACTAGAGGGAGTGGAGTAGG